CCTTAAATTAAAATTTTATTATAGTAAACTCTACCTGAAATTAACTGAAGAATGTAATTATGTTAGACTTTTAACTCCAAAACGTTTAGTTTTCAAAAAACCTATTTTTTTCAATCGCTTATAACTCGAAAATTATTGACTTCTCAACATTTTTGCTAAGGAAAAATCGTCTCCAAATTGGCCAGAGAATCCGCCCTTAATCATTGGTCCGTTAGTTACCGGACACCTTGTATATATTATATAAAAGTGTATAGCACGTCAGAAGCTTGTGAGCTTACAGCGATAAGTAAAAACAATTGCGTATTTATTTCATTGCGTTTATCTGTTTAAACGCGCGCTTTAATTTTTCCAACGTTTTTGCCTGTTTATATTTTAAAGGTCCTCTCTTCTAAAAATCTTGTTTAAAGATCCTCTCCGCGAGCAAAATTCGAAAACATAAATTATTTAATATTTTTACTTTATTATTTGTAAATCCTCGGTAATTTCAAAATTTTTCTATTTGAAAATTATTAATTTTCTATTGCCAATTAATTTTATCACAGACTTTACTCTTACTCCATTGCACTTTCGTTTGCGGTTTTCAGTATACGATTTTTTATCGTAGTTACTGAAAATTATTATTGTGAATTATACTTGTGCAGTGATTTGAAGAATTTACAATTTCGTTGAAATTGTTGATTTTTCAAAAAAATTACGAGATTCGCGGAAATTGCGTGCTTTCTTGGCATTTTCCGTTCGCGGCAGGCGGTTTATTTTTGATTGTTGCAAGTGTTTTGTTTTTTTTTTATTAAAATAGATAATATAATGTGAAATAAATCACGATATTTGACAGATGTGCATATATATAGAAATTGTAATAATAATAATATATATCATAAAATTGTAAATTGTTTCAATTTTTATAGACTGCGATAAAAGATTTTACATTTGGATAAGAAACTGCGGTAAGTAAAAATATAAAATTCTTGAAAACGTACCAAAAATATTTGATAACGTAAAAAGGTGAACTTTGAAAAATAAGGAACTTAAAAATTGCACTAATAAATGGGCTATATGTGAGCCGTGCGCGGATGTAAGGTGGTTATATCGAAATTTAATTAATAGAATTGAGAATTAATCCCAATTTTAAGTCTTACAAATGTCCAAGCTAATTTTTTGTACCTCGTGTACATTTTTGAAAGTTATATCGAAAAATTAAATTTCAATATGCGTCTTACATCTCACATTTCGCATACGGCTCACATATAGCCTATTTATCTCTTATACTTTATTTCAACCCTTATAGAAATTTATTACTAGTAACGCCAATTTATCACTTATTTCGAGTAATTAATCACTTTTATTTCGAATACTTAAATTACTGTATATTATAGTATTTTAAATACTCAAAATAAGTGATTAATTGGCGTAGTGATAAATTTCTACAAGAGAATAAGGAGCCTTTAAATTCTTAATGTAAAAAATTTCAAGTAATTTTCTTTAATAAAATTTAATTAAAAAATTTAATTAAAAAATTTTTGAACACTGTGTTATATCACATTTAAAATTCGTGATTATTTCAATAAAAAAACATTTTATGTGTAAAAAATATATTTTTTATATTTAATAAATTTTATATATATATATGCATATATGTAAAATATCTCTCTCTCTCTCTCTCTCTCTCACACACACACACACACACACACACAACGGGGGCCAAATCTCTCAAATTGGTCTCATGATCAATTAGCCTGGATTCGCACCAGGGGCAAAGTCTGTTGGTAATGTCAAACGAATTTAGCCTGGACTTGCACCAGGGGCAAAGTCTTTGGTCGAGTCTACGAAATTTAGCACGGACTCGAACCAGGGGCAAAGTCTTTGTGGTTCAAGTCTACGAAATTTAGCACGGACTCGAACCAGGGGCAAAGTGTGTCGGTAAGGGGCAAAGTCTATCGCACGAAGATGGCGGTCTCTTCTTTAGGCAGGCCTTTGGCGATCTGTCTATTAATCTGTGCCTGGGGTGTACTGCCGCCCTTAATCTGTGACACCAGAGAGAAAGATGAGAGCGGCCAGGCCTGCGTTTTGGCTGTTACCGTTTTTACGGGACTGCTTGAAGCGCCCCTCGCACCCGTTTTTAATATCGGAACTAACTGCACACCCATTTTCTGGCAGGGTCGATAAAGTTTGTATTTGGTGCGAGTCCGTGCTACGCCCATAATTTTCGTGTTAACACAGTATCACGTATTCATTCTGTATATGTGCGATCTTTTCTCTTTATTTATATATATATATATATATATATATGTATTTATTACTTTCCGTGGAACTTGATACATGATTGGAATCACCATATTAGAAGTGAGTTGTAATAGTCTGTTAACTTCAGCCTGCATTACATCAATGCTCGTTTAGGAACCAAGCAAACTCCCTTAGTTTGCTCGCCACTATGGCGGATTCCTTCTACCAGATAAGGATCTTTATCTGTAACTTCCATGTACATAATAGTGGTGTCTCCTTTACCAGCAAGAAAGAGCATATTTGTGTCAGGATCGAAAAGCGGCATCAAGATGCTACAAAAACATTATATATATATAAACATTTATCAATATTAATTAAAATAAATATGTGAAAAGGATTTATATTTACCCAGTGCTACAATCTAATTCCAATGTTTTCACTGGATCATTTAGATGCCCAAATCCCTAATGAAAACTTGACGCAATCTTGCTGCATCAAATCCTGTGGTAAGTATTCTGTCATTATTTAACCAAACTAGTCTGGAATCTGTGATACTTTGATGACTCGAGCATGAGTTTACAACACATGCGGATGCGCGTGGATCTATGATTCTTAATTGCTTATCCTTGCAAGATGTTGCCATGACGATACCGTCTTGCTTCCAACTTACAGACTGGATTACTTCTGTGTGATCACTATTAGCTGTAATATCATAAATTATAATTTCAATAACAATAAACACAACATGAATGCCAATAAATGTCAAAATATTTACAAAATAGTTCTTGTTGAGAAAAGAACATCCCAGAGTGATAGATTGGTAAATGATGCGGTAGTCAGAAGATGTTCAGCAGAAGGATGCCAGCATACTGCTTCCACTCTTCGTGACGATGCGAGAATGTGCATTCTGGATTGCACAAGGATTCCTCCAAACCACTTTCCGGGATATGCCACAACTTACCTAATTATACAAACAGAATTAATATAATCTGTAGGAAAATATAAATCCTAAATAAAATTTTTGCATCTTTAGCTGAAATTATAATGTCAAGATACTTACAAGGCAATCCTGAGAAACCAGTGCAAGCAAGCCATCATGGAATGGAGAGAAACCCATATCTGTCACAGTATCTGCATGTGCATGAAGAAGGGCATAGTTTTGCTCTTTCTACCACAGTCCTCCAATGGCAACACCGCTAAACTGGATCCTTTACAAAGGAAGAAACATAATTTTAAAAAAGTAACTTGTATATAAATTTAGCAAAGATCAAATCTGTCACAGATGAATATCTACCATTATGATCAACGTTAAATGCCAAAAGGCTGCAGATGCTGTTATATTATTTCCATAGGTTTGATACGATCCCACAGAAATATCTCTGATAAAGCCTCACCACTTGGGAACATAAATCATGCGGCATTTTTGTATTTGGATGCCTTGAAACGCCAAGCCATCTTGATGCCGCTAACTTATTCAAGTATCCACAACTGCTTAAATCATGTAATCTGAAGAAAATGAAAAACATATAACAAATCATATTACACCTTGTTAAAATTATATAAATATATAGATATATGATATATATATAATAATATATATAGATATATATATATATATATATATAAATAATAGATAATAAAATGTCAAAAAATAAATAAATATATATAATAATCATTATATCTGCCTTTAAAGCTCTTGAATATCGGTTTTAATCAGAGATATTAAATCTGAGAAAGAGTAAGTACACGTAGGAATAAATATCGGATTTTTGCACAGAGAGACGTATACAATGCAGCTTTGACGTTGGCGAAAAAATTTCCAAGGAAAACTTTTTTGCGCAAGGGAGTACGAATCACACTTCCAACACAGATGCGAATAATTCACTGGGCGTTGCTCTTGGGTAATGGCAGAGGGAGGAAATCGACGGTGTCGAGAAGACAGAGACTAGGAGACAGCGTTTCTCAAGAGGATCGCGTCAACAGTAGCGGCGTCGAACGAGCGAGAAACGCGACACCCGTTCGCCGTGCATGACTAATAATTTTCGGGGTGAGAGAAAACCACCCTACCCTTCGTTCGATATGGGGCTGTAGATCGCCGCTTTGGCGTTGCCGCTGTAACAACGACGCTGTCAGGGAGCAGCGACGCGACAAAATACTCTCGCGAGCCGCAAATTCGAGGCGCATTCACGTCCGGGAACCTCGATTTTATTTTTCTACGCGAGGATTTCCGCGAGGAAACTTGTATATATATATATATATAGCGATGATAAAACGCGAGAAGAGACGGCGACGAGCCACGGGCGTCGATGTCCTACCGCTGCTCTACGGTTGACAGCCGGAAACAGGAAAATTCCCCCTCCATTCTCTATCCCCTTCGAGACATCGGCGACCTTTATCCCTCCCTCGCGACGATTATCACAATCCCAAGTCGGATATCGTAGATTGTTGTCGGCTCATGTTTACACTTTTATATATTTTGCTTGATATTGCTTTAAAAATTAACTACATAAAAAAACTACATATAAATTTCATTAAGTAATATATATCTACTAATATTTATTCTCTCTGTACATGTATATATAATATATATACATATATATATCTATATACATTTTTATATTCCAATATTATCGATATTTCATGAATAAAATTACTGAATAAGATAATATATACGTGGAATAAGAGAGAAATAATTATATATATATATATATATATATATATATATATAAGAATTTACAAATTCTATATATATAACAATGTGATTTTTTATACATAATAAATAATGTATATTATACATAATAAATAATGTATATTATACATATTATTCTTTAAGAAGAGCTAGTTGCAGTAAAGGCATCACTTTCAGCGAGGATAAGTCTGCTAACACAGCCTAAAAATAAAAAAGTACATATATAGATATTAATAAATATATAAGAATATACACGGCATATACAATGTATGCTAATAAAATCATTTTATACCTCTACATTTTGTTGGGTATTAACTTGCAGTAAATTTTCTTTTCGAAAACTCAATATTGTCACTGCTAATAAAGGAATAATTTCCAAAGAATCATAACCCAGGATCAAATCCCAAAGATACAATAGTTGTTCAGGTGGTAAATGACCACTGAAACCTCTCATAAGCCATTTAAAAACTATTCTTATTCTGAAAACATATGCATATTAAATTAATGAATTACATAAATAAAAATACAGGAGAAGAAAAATATGTATAAGAATAAACTTACGGTTGAATATGTAAATTTTGAAATGAGTCCACAACTGTGGTTCATGGCATTGCAGTAATCGTTCAAAGAATAAACAGAGAGCAACTATACCTTGTTCATGACTTGACACGGTATGTAAACGAAACCAATATCTCAGATAGAATGCACGAAAAGTATAATACATGGCACAGGGATTGTCATATAAATAACAAAACGGTGTAGCTGGCATATATATAAAAATCTTATAATAAAACAATTGATTCATTAAATTCAAAAGTTTCTTTGCAATTTCTTACCATACATTGTAAATCCATGAAATGGGATAATACCGCTCGGTGGAAAAACTAAGGTATTTTCTAATGTTGCTGGTTTGCCTTGCAAAACTGCATGAATCACCTGACCACCTGCGCTTCTATCCGTTGTGACCGGTGCAAGTATTTCGGAATCCCTCGAGAAACATAACATTGTCTTATACAAAACATCCTCGAATACAAAGTATTGATCGTCGTTTCTTGCTGTTAATTGCACATCCTACAACAATATCAATATATAATGCCTCTTTTATTAAAAAGAAAATAATGTAATTTAAGAAAGAAATACAGGTCACCATTATTATTAGCTTATCTACGACGATATCATATTGCAAAACCATATTTTTCAATTCTTCGTAGTACTCTATGTCCTAAAAAAAGAAAGAAATTATCTATTATATCTCATTATCATGAGAGATTATTAATTTTTAATACATTAATCATACATTATCTTTGATAACAGATCCGAGAACGAGCGACCAGAGACGACCACGCAATGCTCGAGGAGATCCCCTTTTAAGGAATTCTTGAGCGATTGGAGCATGATTTGAGCTCAATACTTTTTCTCCAATGTACGTTCGCTCGGCTTCTAAATTTGGGAAGTTTTCTGTAGTCGGCATATCGGAATTTACTCCAAGTAATGGCATTCCCTGCGCTAATCCCGAATACATACGTCTCTGTAGAAAAAGGACGATAGATATATTTGTACAAGTACATAAATTATAAAATTAATTAATTATAATATTCGTACCAATTGCGCGAGTGTTTTTACACTAATCTGTATGTGACTGAAATCCCAATTTAGCTCGTCTCTAAAATATGTTTTTATATCAAGACTTGATGACAAATATATTTTTGTTTTCTAATATAGATAATTTATATATAATTACATACGGTTGCTTTTTAAAAGAAGGATCACGTATCGAGAACAACACATCCAAAAAATCCTTTGGCGCATACAATGGGCGATATTGTGATAAATCTGAAAATAATAATTTCTTCTCTCTATAAAACAGACATTAACTCATATCTGATATATAAAGTAATTTCACAAAAAGGATTTATATTTGATTTCAACTTTGAAATAAAATTTACCAATGTCATAAGTGCTCAATTCATTCCACTTCTCCGCCAATTCCTCTCTGTCGGCGGTAGGTCTTATACGAGCCAGCGGAATATTTAGTTCACTGCAAGTCGAATTCAATGATTTTTGAATACGTCGTTCCCATTGAATTTGAGTTTTTTTCAAGTAACTCAAGTCGGCCGTCTGTATATGTGAAACCGATCGGGAATGCAGGGAACCCTGTGAAAGAAATTTCCATTTAGCAATTTATTCCGTTCACAGTTGGAAAATTTATTTTTTCTTGTTAAAAAAGGTCCCTGTTAAAATTTTTCTGTTAAATAATTAACACATTTATATGTGACTTTGATATATATTGTGTTAATCGAACTCTAATGTTAAATTATTAAAATAATTAAAAAATGCTGTAAAAATAACACAATGTGCATCTATTTTTAATAATAAATTATTCGGAATTATTTAGTGATAAGATTTATCCATTAAAATTTACAAGAAAAAATGTTGATTTTATTCTAATAAGTGTTAATAGTAATAATACAAGTAGAGATGATAAAATATAAAATAACATTTGTTAGTTAATATATTTACATTTTAAAATTATGTTACTTTTACACAAAATTTATTTCTATAATTACTTAAAACATTTTGCATTTTTTGTGTTAAAATATTACGCAGTATTCGAAAATTAACATAAAAATTTCTGTGGACCGTTTGGAACATGTGATACTTATATGTCAAATTTAACACAAATTTTTTGGCTGTGTGTAATAATAATTAAGTATCAATTTTATGTACCCGCGATCGTGCCCAGTGAAACACAGTGTTCCTGATCTCCGTCTCCAAGCCATTATTTTCCAGCGCTGTCACCAACGAGTTTTTAAAATCATCCTTATCTACGACAGGCGAGGCGATGAGTCTCTACGAAAAAAATAAACAATTATCCGAAATTAGTTTCCGCTCGATAGATAAATTCGATATGGTTAGGTATTCAATAAGTATTTATACCTGTATTTCGTTGTAAAGGGCTCTGTAATTCGACATATTCTGGATGTCATCAGTGAGTTTTCGCGCTGTCTTGTCGAGCGACGCATTTTTCGCAATTTCCTCGTCCATCCTCGCAAAATTATCGTGCGTTTTTCGAGATCTCCTCTTCTGACAGCAAATCGAACGTGTGCGCCATTTTTAAATAAGCGTCTCCCGTGGTCTTCCATCTCCATAGCAACAGTCACAGTACTATTGTAGTTCGGAACCCTGCTCGATCATTTGGTTTTCGCGAGAGACAGATAAATTAGAAAAATGAATTAAATTTACAAATATCTCTCTTATACGTATATTAATCAAATAAATAATGCAAAATGCTAATTCTCTCGTTAAAAATTATTCATCGATGGATTTATTTGATCGATATAAACATTAAAAATTACTCCTATTTCATCCAATATACTTTACGATAATTTTTGCGCAACAAAGAAAGAAACTTTAAAGAGTCCTTCCCTCTTTTCTAAAATTGCAAAAAATCTATCCGTCCTTACGACATATGTTTCGAGGGAGAGAGAGAGAGAGAGAGAGAGAGCAAAGTTTCGTTCCGAAAACGAACGCCACGTTTCCATGAGCGGGAGCTCTCCCTCTCTCATTGTCAGTCTCCTTTCCCGCTGTACACCGTCCCGTCGAAATCACAATTTTTTCTTCAGCCTCGCCGCAAGAGAGGTCGTCGAACGTGCGTCCCTTTTTACTATAGCTCCGCAGACGGCCGGTGTGTAGCTTTTTCGTGGGGAAATGGCGGCGCAATAGCCGCGGCGATCGTGCTCTTGTTTTGAAAGCGAGCGTTCTTCTGCTGACAATCGGCGAGCCTGCGAACAAACGCACCATGGATATCTCGAGTATGCTCGAGGTGCAGGTGAAGGTGGAGACGGACGTTAAGGAGAACGGTGAGTGAGCAGTCGATTGCGACGCGCGATTCTACGAAGCCCGGGATAACGACGCTCTAACCTGCTTGTCTCGCTTTTAGTGACACCAAGGAGGGACCATCAGGAGTCCAGCACCACCAGCACGGTCGCTGTATCATCGCCCATCTCTCAGGATGAGAGCAATTTCTACAAACTTATGTTTGGCAACGGTCAGCTTTCTCTCTTCTCCCTTTCTTTCTTTTTCTAAAAAAAAAAAATTGATTATTTGGGGGAGATAATTTTGTAAGATTTTTCACCTTTTTATCTTCATTCTAGATTCGAAATTTATTGTAGCAAGAACTACATGAGAGATATGAATGCTCCTTTTAGTTCATAAAAGTTATGTATGTTATAATGTAGGTGTTAAATTTTTTTTAGATATTGCATCTGTACGGTTTCGAAGACTTCATTGTACAGCCTGCGATGCACATATTGGTTCCGCTCCAGCTCAGATCCATAACATGTATCAACATCCTGTGATTCGTACGTTATTGTGCGCGGAATGTCGTAAATTTTATGGGGATGGTACCTTTGAACAAGGTAATGTAATAATTTATCTTATAAAACTTGTATTTTCCATATTTACCTGCATTCACCGATGTATACTTTTATCAATGTTAATATGTTTCTGTATTCTCAGGTGATGACGCTACAGACATGTTCTGTAGATGGTGTGCAAACGGTGGCAACTTATATTGTTGCTCATACTGCAGTAATACATTTTGTTACAAATGTATAAGAAGGAACTTTACATCCTTAGTAAGAAAAAAAATTGAAGCGGATGAAAAATGGAAATGTTTTGTATGCAATCCGAGCGATTTGTACAGTGCTAGGGCTATATGCTGGGCTCTACTCGAACATGTAAAAACAGTGACAAGGTATTGTTGCATGAATACAATGTTAGAAACATTAATCCTTACCAAATTGTGTCTTTCTTGTAAAAATAAAATAAAAATACATTTAATATATTTTAGAATATTAAAAAATGACAAGAAAATAAGCGCCGAGGAGTTGGACATAAAAATGAATTTGGATGAATCACCATGTTGTCCGCGCAGAAGAAAACGTAAGCGTCGAAGACTGGAATCCAATTCCGAGGAGGAGGACGAAACGTATACGATTGAATCCAACGGTTTACCGATACACACCGTACAGCGTAAACAAATCAAGAAAATACCGAAAATTAATGTGAACGGCAAAGTCAGATCGATCGTTGTGCAGCAAAAGCAATCTATACCGATTCCGATCAGACCGCGTCCGTCTTCGTTCTTGACCGGTCCGTCGCAATCTACAAAGGGCGATAGCTCGACTGTCGATTCCGAGGGCATCATCCTTCCGTCATCTAGCATGATAAATTCGAATGCTTCGGTATCATCGAGATACGATTCTAATGTACTACAGCAGCAGCCATCTTTGTATCGTACAACTTTTATGAACAGCGCGGGATCTAATACTTACATACGAGCGGTGAAACCCGCTACAATAAACTCTGCGGCTCGAAACCGGCTAATTCTTCCAGCACAAACATCTCTGCCATCGTCAATACAGTCGTCAACCTCGTATCAGTCACCGCAGCCGTCAATACAGTCATCAACCTCGTATCAGACGCCGCAGCCACCGTCAAAGAAGTCGTCAACCTCGTATCAGTCGTCACAGTCGGTTCCAGCTCCCAAAAACGCAATGGTATCCATACCCAATCCGACAGACAAGCGTGGCAGATCGCTTTTCCTTCTTCCGAAATCGAGAAAGATGGATCTAACGTTGACTCCCAATATAATTGATCTCGACAGCGATTCCGACGACGAGCCGAAGGTTGTTGAAGAGCAAAATAATACAATAGTCAATGGATGCGATGACATGGATGTAGATATTTGCTGCGACAAGGTGGTACCTGTTGCTCTTACTTGGGAAAACAACAGCGACGATGATGGCATAAGGGAGGAGCAGCCTTTGCGAGAGATGTCCACGACTTTGACGAGGAATCCTACTACCTTCAAGAAAACCATGTTACCACATAGTCAAGAACTCGATAAACTGTTAAGTGACTTGAAGATAGGAATGAATTATTTCTTCGATATAAACCCGATCGCTCCAGACGTTGAATTGGCGGCGCAACAGAAAATTAAGCAGTTCTGTTGGAAAATGCGCGAAGCAGTCCTTCAATTGGCAAATATCAATGATAGGATAGTGCGTGAATACTATGCATGGAGGACATCTCGGAAGGAGACGGAAACGGAAACTCCGTCTTCGATCGAGGAAAACGTTGCGTCCCGACAAAACATAGAAATTCCTTTAGATATGATTTGTATTAACGAATCTGACACTGAATCCGATTGTGAAGGTTTGGGTCGAATTAAGAGACCATCTGAACTTGTTAAGAGTGGCAATATTGTTGAAAACTTGTTATTTCCTAAAAAAGCCGTTGTACATCGTGGTACTGGTGATGATAAGGTGCATTTGTATGTGGATAAAATGACTCAAGTGTGCAACATCTTGAGAGATTATGAGAAATGTATTTCTTATTCTATGGTGACAAAATCTAATAATGATTCACAAACTGACACTAGTGTCTTGAAACAAACGTCGACACCAGACAAGAATTTCGGCAAATATGAAGAGCAGTTCATTTATTTTTTGCAGCACATCGAAGATCATGGCATTCAGACAGAGGATGCAAATAATTTGGCAGATTTGACTGAACTACCGCTTCAAGAATTGATAGAAACTAATTCATCGATTAATTCGCATTTATTTGAAAATATTGATTCTCCTAATATTATATCTGATGAATCGAAAATTTGTGAACAAGAAAGAAGTAAGAAAAGTGATTCGAGTGGTCATGTTAATACAGTAATAATGAATGACATAATAACTGAGGCATTGAAAAGCGCATTTGATAATGATAATCCGGAAATGATTAATGACTCAGATTCTGATATTAGAATACAAGAGATAAACGAGATCAGAATACAAGGAACGGTAGTACTTGATGAGAAATTACAACAAACTCATGATACAGTGGACAAAGAAACGATAATATCAAATGATGAAGACACAAAATCAAGTATAAATGACAGTAATATAGTAAATATGGAAAATACAGAAGTATCTGTTTCGAAAGGAAATGAAGAAGATTGTACTATTATCGATGATTAATGAGAAGTATTGTTTATCAACATGCAGTTTTTGTATCAAACTCTAGTTGCAATTAAGTTGCAATTTATAAAAATGTGTTTTTCCATTTCTATTTTTTTCATCTTCCAAACAAGTTTTGATGTGTCAGAAATATTTTAAGTTGTATAAAAGTTGTATAATATTATATTCTTAAATTGTAAAGAAATACCTGACGGCCGTAGAAATAACGTCAAATAAAGAGCTTATTTCCAAAAGAGACTAAGATTATTTTACATTTTTTTAGGATATATTTTTCTCAACATTTGGCATATACTTTAGGAAATGAGCTCTCTATAAAACTATATCTACTAATAAACTATCAATACACAATACGATTTTTCTTGGAGTTTTAATCGCTTATTTTATGATCATTATTTTACTTTTACAAATTTTTGCAGAAAATAGTAATAATAAACTTTATGATCAAGCAGTTTTCATTATACAAAACAAAAAAAGATACATTTACTTATAATTTAATATATTTTATTTTGAAAGAAAAAATTCTAACTTTAAGGTATTGAACTTTTAGTGAAAGAATTGAAGTATTGTAGAAATTAAATATAACTATATGTTTTTTGCATATAATATATATTCCAAAAAGAAAAGTAATTTAATCTTAATGAAATCTTAAATTAGATACACAGCGCCTTTTTTATCCAGAAGACTGCTTGAAAATTCGTTTCGTGTATTAACTGTTGCGATGGTAATAATTAATAAGTATAGATATATTTTCTTATTACACGAGTCCAATGATGAATTTTTTAGTTTACATATGAATTTTGTATCGTAAAAGATATTCGATATATAGAAGAGGATTTATTTTTAGTTTATTCTCTCTGCAAGTAGCACAAAGTCTGAAGTAATACATAAAATATAACTATATTTATTGGAAAGAAAAAAATATTTGTAATAATGAAATCAAACAAATATTGTTTGATTTCATTATTAAAACAGCAAAAATAGAATGCATTTTACTTTACATATTATTGAAATATGTTAGTTGCGTTATAGTATGATTTTATGCAATCTGCATAAGTTTGTACATAAGAATCTGTCACTCTGTATAAAGAAACATACAAATAAGATGTTACGCTTTTGATTATTATATTATTGCGTGATGTATGTACACAGCAAATCGTTGAACGATGCATCTATACGCGTACATATGCTATGTAATGAATACGAATATATATGTATTATATTTATTCGTAGATCTATTCATACTTCCATGTATTTGTGAGCCATACGTACGTGTATGTACACAAATTTTCAAAGATCAAGTGTATGAAACAAATAAATTGTTTTATATAATACACATGTTAGAAATTACTTTAGATTTAATATAGTTAATGCAACATAAGTGAATGAGAGACAGAGAGAGAGAGACCGGCGCGCATAATAAATTGCAGAACATGTTTTCTTTCGGCTGTAAACATTTCAATAAACAGCATTAAGTTCTGTTTAGCTCTAATCTGAATAGATTCAATATAAATAATCAGTGCGGGATTGTAATTGTTCCTAAAATAACAATTACAACAATAAGTTTTCTCTCTGTATTTTTTATTTCATTTTTCATTTGTATACATATATATCAACTCACAGAAACATAACATTGGTCAAGTAAACGTTTTATTTTTTAGTATATTGATATCTATTCGATTTATGTTATATGTAAAGATGCATGTAAGTCTCACTATAATAGTTTTTCATCATAGAAAGTTCTCCGTCTGTTCGCATCTTAACAGTTTTATGAACGTAGTGATTGTATACAAAAAATGAATTTACAGTATAAAAAATTAAAGAAGTATTATATAGTTACATGTAGCTTTTTTGGACGTTTGCACATAAAAAGTACTCTACTTCGCTTTTTATTATTGCGATACGCAAAAAAGTTTATATTTGTCATGGTTACTTACACTTCTATAATTAGAAATGTAAAAACTGATGATATAGCTCATAGAAGGTACTTGAGCAAGTAATGATATTCTTATAATAATAGTTCTCGTATAAATAATAACATTAAGAAAAATGATAATGTAATCGGCTTAGATTCTACAAATTAACGAAGAAATGCGATGCAACGAAAATATACATGAGAGCACAGAATTATCGGCACTTCGTCACTCTTGAAGTTCATGTGTCGCAGTGATGCAGCGTTATCCCTAAAATTCTTCAATCCTCTTAGATCACGTCTCAGTATCGAAATTGACCTTTTTTGCCCATTCCGTTATGATACACCCTCAGCGGTATGTAATTTCCGTTTCCGTTCATCGCTGTATTCGGAAAATTATAAAAAAATTATAGAAACGATAAAATTAGAAATATAGCGCGAATTTGTGGAAACAACTGACAGACATATAATTCTCCACGATCCATGCAGAGAAGGAGGAACATTTCGCGGAAATACGCAGAACTGGTCTCTTTTTCCGATCATGATAGATCGTCAAAATTTCAAAAAAGACAGTTTTGAAGATTTCCGCATTAAAAAAAATAAGAAACATTATTAAATAACACACAAGATATGTACATGTATTTCGAAGAACACGAAGTAGAAAATCTCGTGTTTAATCACTTACTCAATTCATAGTCTTTTATGGCAGCTTGCAAAGTTAAAGTTGCAATGTAGACATTAGATAACGTGATCAATTTAATTGTGCATTACGTGTGTAATGGGCATCCGCAAAGACGAGAGGGAGCATTTGCCCCTCTGGAATTAGTAAAAAAAAATTAAACATTGCTCTCATTTTAAATAAACACTGGAATTTTTTAGAAAATTTAATGTAAAAAAAAATTACAAAAAAAATTAAGTACAAAAAGTTAAAAAAATTTAATTATGTCCCCTCCAGGAAAAAATCTTCCGGACGCCCATGTGTACATACAATAGAATATCGCTTACCTTGTACAATCGTGGGAGGTTGACGGGGACCTTGAATAGTGTGTGCATGACATCTCGGTTTCAGTAGACCATGATACAAGACGAAATATAGACCGGCAACAATAGCCGCTGCTATCGCCATACAACGATATACGAATCTCAGCGATTCTACGATGTCTTCGTCGCCAAAATTGATGTAAGCACCGACGACGGCTCCGAGGCACCGGCCTGCGCATCGAAAAGGCAATATTCAGACCTATCGATCGTACCAAAGCACGTTATATATTATAAGAGACGAGACATACCGACGCAAAAGTGAGCTATCACAGGCAGCGCTTGGGCAGTCACAGTTAAATGACGCGGTACCAAATGTCTCAGGTAAAGAATGGCAGTAACCCACATTATTCCTAAAGTGAACACTTCTAGAGCCTCTGTGATTAGAGACCACCAAGGATCCGACACGAAACTCAGTACGGTGAACCTATTTGCATTGGTAAATTGTCAATCAACCTTTTTAAACAAACGTGAAAACTTAAGAGATTCTTCTTCGGCTAGATTTACGATTATTATCCGTTTATCAAATTAGAAAAACTTACCTACCTGATTATGTACACCGTAAAGGCAGTGATGAGAAGATTACTGTGTCCACAATAGTCCACAAAATGTTCTGATTTCCAAAGAAACAGGAACGCCGGAATTGCTCCGACAGTCATAGCGACACCAATGATAAGTTCATCGCCTCCTAATTTTTGCAGATGCCTGTATGACGAAGAAAAGAAATTCCTAATATCTCGAATCGCAGTTTAACGGTTGAATTACTTTATCTATGGACTTACAAAGGCAAGTAGCTATCCATCGCGCTCCAGAAAGTACCCATGACTATCAGGATGAAAACCAGGGCGACGGTCTCGCTGCCATATCTCTTGACAGCACTCATTGGCAATGCCAGCATGCCGCTTCTCGTGTGCCACCACCATTCAGGTGGACTGAGTGGCATACCGTTCGCCGACAGGGCGATGATGGCCGTGAGAATCATGAGTATGGCGTGTAGAACGAGCGGAAGCCAATAGGCCGGCCCGAAATCGTTCGTTAGTGTACTCAGATAGCCGGTCAACGGTCCTAGCAAAGCGAAACCGAGGGAGCCAAAGGCCAATTGACGTCCCACGTCGCCACGACCGCATGACGTTTCCCTGGTCGCAATCACCACCGCCGCGTCGATCAGAGCCACTGCAGTCGTTGGAAAGATATCCGCGATCGAGCGTACGATCAGATACATCCAGAACGCCGCTTCCGCCCAATCTCCAGTATGTTGACACTGGCTTTCCGCCAGCACGCTGCCTGAAATGATATATTATCGCTGTTTTAAAGAAGAAATTTTCTATTTTTCTTTGTTATCAATGTAGGAAATATAGAGTCACCAAACAAATGAAAGCGATATACGACGTTTATGCTCTTTCCAGATTTTTATCTGGAAAGTTTCCCTTCCACTAATGCTATATAAAAGTATCAGAATATAATTAATTACAGAAATTTTCAAAGAATCGATTTTTTGGATTGAGTTTCTAATTATAGTACTGTAATTCTTAGTATACTTAATTCTAAATAATAAAAACTTCAAGATAAAGAACTAAATTGCCGATTAATTCTAATAAATTGTTACCTGGAAGGGTATATGGATTAACCAAATCACATTCAATGGAGCAACTCTGATTAAACTCAGCCATTCTGACTTCCAACTCGGGTGGTATACGACAAGAGAAGTACTCAGCCATAGGATATGCGCACCATTCCTCTTCATTTTCGGGATTCAATGCCTGTCTAAAGCTACCGTTCACCGGCAAAACGCCGGAGTACTCTGTATAAACATGACAGATGATATTGTCATTTTCATCCTTGCAACACAGATGCGGCGGTTCGTTTTCGGCCATGACATAACGACGAGTTTTTTTCGTTTCTTCGAGATCCTCCTGTAAAAATTATAATTTATGTATATATTATTATGTATTTATGTATATGCTTAAAATTTTATTTTTGCTTTATTGCGAGAAAAAAATATATCTCGTTTCTTGCTGTACGTAAACGGTATTTCCAGTTAAAGAATTAAAGTTTTATAATTGGACATTTCATATATAATTTATATAATAACGTTTTATTAAAATTTATAATTTTACATTTGTTTTGTAACACAAATAGTTAAGATTTCGCAATCTGCAATCACAGCCTTACCGACGCATAGAGTTCGCTATATAACGGTGCGACCGTGGTCTCGCCACTGCCATCGAAGAAATCAACCTCGGCGTCGACGGTGTTTCGAAAGGTCGTCGTATCGGCGACAAGTTCTGATTGCCATCGTCGCATGCCGGTCGGATAGCAAACGTAGTTGCAGTCTTTTAACAACATGATACCTATCCCGCTGTCGTCATCGGTCCAACGATGACACCCGAAACGGTCCTCGCATCTGGCTTGCCTCACCTAGAGAATATAGTTACGTTTACTCCAATTTTTGATATTTCTATTTACAATTAAAGAGAAAGAGAAGAATATTTTTTATTAATTTAAAATTTAAATGTTTTATTCTCAAATTCTAATTGAAATTCTACGTATACATTAAAATATTTAAAATATTCTTCTCTCTCTCATTACATTAATCTATTAGTTTAATAATCTTTAGCTTTGCACCATCGCTCCGCGCCGATCGCAGTTGAACTTGAGATCGGGACCCTTCCCGCCCGATGACAGATTGCGACCCAGCACTGAGGGTACCAGCAGCAACAGCGAGTAGAAGAGTGCCGAGAAGATGCAGGCGACGGCGATCATCACGCGAAGGTAACGACCCGTCGACGATTTGTCATTGTTGTTCTGACAACCGGCGAGTTTGTCAGCGATCGGTCCCGCTATCAGCGGACCCAGTATCGCCACTGCCGGCGAGACCATCGACACGAATCTGACATTTTCGATGCTCAATCCCACCTTCGTCATGTGCAGCGGAAGAAATGGGAAGAGACAGCCGATGCCTGAAGAAGAGATAATTGTACAAATCATTAGAACTCATTCAAATTGATCGAAAAGCAATTGCAGGGTGTCTACTCAAATATTGTAAAAAAATTTCCTGATATTTCAAGTTTTCATTGAAAATTCCAAGTAAAATAAAAAAATTTGTAGCTTTTTAAATAAGTTTCTTTTGTGTGCGCTTTATAATGTTTCCTATTCATACAATTGCAAAGTTATTAAAAGTGCACTTTTTTTAGCATTTAATATTGATTTGTTAATTTTAAAATTAATTTAGACAATAATAAAGTACGATATATCACTATATCTAAACACTAAAAATATATACAACATAATTAAGATAAAGATATAAAACAAAAAATAATTTATGATAAACATCTTAAGAAACATTAATTTAAATATTACCTTTTAAAAAATTGAACAATTTTCTAAGTATAAAACTTACATAAGATCTTAATACTAAAAATAGATCATCAATAAAAAATCACATACAATTTTCATAAAAATTAAAACATTGGCAAGATATGTTAGTTAAAAAATTCTTTGAATTCCAATCAAATTCCATGAGAATTCTTTGATTTTTCAGGGTTGAATGAAATTCTCGGAAAATACCAAGTTTTCAAGGTTTTTCCCGAGAATAGAACTCTTGGATTGTTTTTGTGATCGATACCCACCTCCGAAAAAGACGAACAGAAGACATTTCAGCGATATCAGATTCGTGTTGATGAGCTTCTTCTTCGGTAAATCCTTCTCCATGTCCATCTTCTCCGTAGACGCCGTCGCGGCCATTGCGAACGAGCAACCGGATCAGTCTTACTCGGGAACGATCGCGGGTGTGCCGGTCAATCAGGACGACCTGGGGTCGTCTACTAGGCTGACTGGTCGCCTATTTCCATCGCGATGTGTCCATTCTGCGTGCGCTTGAGATGCTAAAGAAAAAAATTATGCACGGATAATATAAAGCTATTTATAAGTACTTATGAATAAAACAGAATTGTGGGCGAAGAACGAGTATCTCTCGTTTAATTTAATATATATAAAGCTATTTTGATACAGTATAAAATTCCGTACAATTAGCAGACATTAAATTTATTTTCACTCTGTTCTAAGATTATAAATATTTCAATACGATTAACTAGAGAAGCTTCTGAGCTATATATGTATATTCATTGAATTAATTTATATCGTAATATTGAAGAATGCATGGATAAATGTGATAAAAATAAAAATATAAAACAAAAAATAATTTATTATAAACACCTTCAGGAAATACTATAATTTTATCAAAATTAATTATTTAGGTATTTAAGTATTATCTATTAAAAAATTTATTTTTCATGAGGTTGATAATTTATATAAGATCTTGATATTAAAATAAAATTAGAATGTCAATCAAAAATAAAAATTACATAAAATTTTAATAAAAATTTAAACATTGTCAATATATGTTAGACATACGTTTCTTACAAGTGCTAAATAAAAATAAAATAAACAAAAGAATAATTTTGAAAAAAAATTCCCTGAATCCAAATCAAATTAATTTCCCGATTTTCAAAAGATTGAACAAAATTCCCTGCGAGAATACCAGGGTTTTCAAGGTTTTTCCCAGAAGTATACACCCTGTAACTCTATATTTAAAATTTTGTCATTTACACAAAAATAGAAACGAAAAACTTCAAGCATAATTAATTGGACTAATGTGTACAGTTGTCGCAAATTAATTGTTTGTAACACACTTATACAAAAGCTTTGTGACAACACCTCGGTTGACTAAGCGAGGTCGTCACGCGAATCGGACAGGAAGACGATCGCACCTGTATACGCGCGTGCGAGACATCAAAGGCAACCTGTGCGGATGTCATATATATATATATATATTGATGTCACATCAATTCTTAACGCGTGTCGACAATGAAATCATTGTACCATATTTGTACCTTGACCTGGTGGTGCTCAGACGTGCCACGGAAGTAAATTATCAGATGAACACCGAATATGTGTATGTATATGGGACCCTCGCATGCAAAGCTCATATAAACCTAATTTTCTCTTCTTATGATATGCAAATGTGTTCCTAATAGACACTTATTTCAAAGCGTATGAATGAAAAGACTCGTCGAAAATTTAGCTCAAAGTATGCGTTCAAATGAGAATGCAATTACAAGAATGATATAAAATTGGCAAAAGACTAACTATAAACGCACCTCTCCGACTTGTCCTTCGACAAGAATTCGCCGCCAGGCGCCTTTATTATTAGATATCATATTGGAAGAATCCTCCTGCGGATTAATATATAACTGGCAAGTTCGGTTCGCGAGAAGAAAGATAGTAGGTCGCAATTAATATTCCACAGCACGCGATGCTTTTCGCCTGTGTTAGCGGTGCACCTTTATATACGAAAGCGAAAAAAAAACAGGTTTAATCTAGAATATGCATATGGTAATAAAATTATACTTCACCGTGTCAAATATCCCTCGCATGTGGGACGAAAGATCGAGACATTTACTTCTATCTGATCGTAAAATTTCCTCGTATATTAGAGATGACATTTATTTATGAATGAGCGCGTATATATATACATATATATATCTTACAAATCATGAATTTATGCCAAGGTAAAACGCACGCGTGGACGATTACGTGGATGTGCTTCCAGCATTGTATCAATCTATCTGAGCCAGATGCAACGAATTCGGGACATTCAAGGCCCGTGCAATTCGCAGCTCATGTATATGTGTGAGAATATATCCGGTCTGTATATATGTGTAAGTGTGCACATATTGTGACAATCGATTTTCAGCAAGAGTGCTGATGATATATTAATTACATTATAACTGGTCTATTATATACCGCTAATTACTAATTATACTAAATAACTTTCAATGAAAGTTGATCTATATAAAACTAACACCTTATTTTCGAATTTCAATATATGTAATTGACGGCGCAAAAAGTTCCTGTCACGTTATACAAAAAATTATATTAATTAATATTTTATGTGATAAAAAATAAAAAAGTTTCGTCGCTATCTTTCAGTTTTTAAATAGAAACTTCCCAAGTTTTGTTCGACTTTTTTGAATAAGCAATCTATCAAAAGGTATCCTGACAATGCATCTTCGACGTGTATATCTCTTAATCTTATATTCACCGAGCTTTTTATACTCCGAAAGAGATTTCCTTCTTATTTCTATGTATCGCTCTTCGTTCAACGATTACATATATAAGAGGAGCTGTGAAAAGGGGAGCGTACAGTTGAACGGTCACTCAGGAGACGTGATTTATCTTCATATGTATATCCCCTTGTGTCGTTCCGGATTGATTACGTCGCCGTCGTAATTGTCGCCGTTACATATAAAACTATGTCCTCACTGGAGCAACAACGAGCGACTTTTTGTTGATGTTCCACGTTTTTTAAAAAAATTGCTAATTGTTGCCGAAAGTTTCAAGCTGCGTCTTCACTGGAGCAATAACGAGCAACTTTTTGTTAATGTTCGACGTATCTTAAAAAAGTTGCTAATTGTTGCCGAAAGTTTCAAGCTGCGTCCTCACTGGAGCAACAACGAATAACTTTTGTTGATATTCCATGTCTCTTAAAAAAGTTGTTGCTCCAGTGAGGAGATAGCTTAAGAGTTAATGTTACGTAGCTCACAACGAAAAGCTATCTCGCCATTCTTTCAGCGCGCGTTTCTCTCCTCCTACGCCGACTCGTAATTAAATGTCCGCTTCGTCTTCGTTCGGACGATCAGCATCTTCCGTCCCGCAAATTTGGCGTGGTCAGCATCCGCGAAAGAGTGAAGTAACGTGTGCGAATTTCTGTCGAAGAAACGGACTCGGTCTTGTTAGAGAGAATCTTACATTGGTTAAAAGTCTAAGTTCGAAGTCGTCTGCTGACTTCGATGAAAATCGATTGTTTAAAAATCGTGAATCTTTGATGCAATTATAATTATTTTTATTATTTATCAATTTCCTACTCTCTGGAAAAAAATTTGTTAACTTGACTAAACCTTTCAACTAAATATTATTTTGTTAATCAAACATATAAAAATATTTAAATTAAATATAACACGATAAAAATCTAACAAAACGTATATTTGACTTACATATTAATATATATATTCAATTAACAAAATATAGTAATTTAATTGAAAAATTTAGTCAAATTAACAATTTTTTTCAGTATATTTACAGTTTATTTAATTTGAATATAGAGAAAAATGTCGTTTATTTTAATCGAAGCGCGTTTGCACAATAAGTGGCAGTAGCATTCTTCACAAATTATGGGCGCAATTGCAATTGATTGCAATTGTAACATAAATTCTGCGTTCTAATCTAGGGAATCAGTTCGCCGGTCTTGGAATGACTGTGAAATAAGTTAAAGCGAACTCATAATGCGTGTACTAGAACAGTCCAAACTGGGTTAACGACAGGTTACAGAAACCTCGAATGTTTCTGCGCGTTTTAAAGAAGCGTTCTATCGTGCTTACCGCTCGTAAAAGATGATTTCGACACGAAAATTCGGACATTTCTAAAAATAGCAGCAGGTTATAAAATGTAATTTCAATAATTTCAAGCCGATGAAAATATACGTAATTATAAGCTTCTTCCGAGAAGTTTGCGGTGCTGCTTGTCAATATTTATTATCTTATTGTCAGTATATCGATTATTTGATTCAATGTCATGACCGAATGATAGCATTAAATTCCATCGTTTCGTATCAATGTGAAATACTTTTGATTTTTAATACGATTTCTCAAGACGATTCTCTATAAATAGTTATAAGAAACTACAAACATGTGTAAAGATTCCGCGCATTTTCCATGCGTATATGACCGTCAGCTATAAATAGACATATGTGAACGTTTTTTTAACTAGACGAGATTTCATCCAATCTAACGTCATTCGATCCAGTGCTTTGATGAAACGGAAGTTCTAGTCTGCGTTAAATGCGTCTATAATAAACATCTAATGTCTCTTATCCTACTTAGTTTTTTGTTCGCGCAAGGTGCAAGGTATGTTTACGATTCTGAGATGTCTTATTTGCATAGAATAAAAAACTGTAATATATGTATAAGCTAAAATGAGATAGTCAGTAGCTTATTTCTAAAATATTGATCAATTTTTCACAAATTGTAATGCACTGAAAAAAATTATTAAATTAATAAATATTTATTTCACTGCCTTATAAATCATTTATTTAAAATAAATAAATATTTTTTCACATCACATATTAATTTTAAATAAATGGTTTAGAAGGCAAGTATTAAAATAAAATATTCAAATTAAATTTAAAAAAATCTTTTTTCAGTGTATTAAATAATTCCAAGCTTTAAAATCGTTTGCTTAATGCAAACGCTTATGTTCATGGCTAAAAAAAATTTAAAAATCCGGTGCGTTTGCGATATTTTGCGCGTTGGTTTCGGATGAATAAGATTTTTCTTTCACTCACAGTGTCCTCCGTAAGCTACGTTACGTCATCGAGAACAGGTCTCCGATTACGTCAATATCCAGCTCCAGTCAGTATGTGATCACGAGCCGCCAAATTATTCTTTGGAGTTCTACGATTACATACCGTACCGATAAAACCGAATCTTTTAAAAATAATTCTTACGCGCTTGTCATATATGTATATACGATGTATCGTAAAACGCCATATCTCACTGGCTGTAATAAAAATTTTAACTGTTTCCGAGAGAGAAACGTTAACTCGATAAATAAGAAATGCAATCGAAAATCACTGTTTATTTCTTCTGTGCATCGAGTTCTGAGCTTTTCCTTCATACATTTTGTATTTAGTTCCATAATTTTATATTTATGAAGGTACACACGTCAATATACATATATCTTGACGAGATGTCAATAACGATAAAAAAACTGGCAAGTCGCTTCTTATTTTATGAATTGAACCGTGGATGAGTGTAATTTGAACAGA